GCCAATTCTCAATCCTGTTGATTTCAAACTGGACCAGGGTTATTCTGATGGATGGCTGATGTAAGAGGATATTCTGAGTTCTCTCAGAGAGGTTATTAAGGTTAGGGATAAACAAAACAGGTTACATGACCAAGTGGCTGGTCAGGGTTCAGACACCTGTGTCACCTAAATTCTTTGGTTTAAAACCGAAGATAATTGTGCCAGTATCACCGGTTTGGAACCGAAGGCAGGGCAGAGCTGGATGAGCCCCTCTCAAATCCAGCTCACACAGCTCAGTGTACAAGCAATAAATTTGGGCTATATCCATACAATCCAGATGACATACCAGAATCATGTACCAACTCATCCAGCTCACACAGCAGGGTTAAATCCAGCTCATCCAGCTCACGCATCAGGGTTAAATCCAGCTCATCCAGCTCACGCAGCAGGGTTAAATTCAGCTCATCCAGCTCACACAGCAGGTTGGCAGCCAGCTCATCCAGCTCACATGGAGGGTACATATACCAGCTCACCCAGCTCACGCAGCAGGGTTAAATCCAGCTCATCCAGCTCACGCAGCAGGGTTAAATCCAGCTCATCCAGCTCACACAGCAGGGTTAAATCCAGCTCATCCAGCTCACGCAGCAGGGTTAAATCCAGCTCATCCAGCTCACACAGCAGGGTTAAATCCAGCTCATCCAGCTCACACAGCAGGTTGGCAGCCAGCTCATCCAGCTCACGCATCAGGGTTAAATCCAGCTCATCCAGCTCACGCATCAGGGTTAAATCCAGCTCATCCAGCTCACGCATCATGTTGAAATCCAGCTCATCCAGCTCACGCATCAGGGTTAAATCCAGCTCATCCAGCTCACACAGCAGGGTTAAATCCAGCTCATGTAGCAGGTTGGCAGACAGCTCATCCAGCTCACATGGAGGGTACATATACCAGCTCACACAGCTCATGCAGGAGGTTAAAACCCAGCTCGTCCAGCTCATCCAGCTCCCATTAAGGGTACATGTACCAGCTCACCAAGCTCAAATGGGTTTCTGTTGAATAATGCAACTTTGACCCATTTGTTCAATCAAATTTTTTACATCTTAAATTTGATTATTTTTTGACATTTCAAGTTTTTTTTCCTACACTCCAAGAGGTGTAAAATATATGGATCATTATGCTTAAAAAGAAAATTTTGTTTTTGAAATTTTCATTATTTTTTTGGCCTTAATAAACAAGCACGGGTTTTTTGCATTTTGACATGGTATTTCCTGCGAGCAGAGCACAAGCTTTATGTGTTTGGTCGCGCTTTTTGTAATGAATTTTTAACACTAATTTTCATGTTTTTCAAAATTTTAAATTTATTTCCTGGATTTTAATATGCATTAAACTTTATGGTAAGATCCATTCATTTCAATTTTAAGAATGAAATTAGATAGACCCAAATTTGCCCTTAATTTTTTACAGCTTAATTTTCATCATTTTTTGACATTTCAATTTTTTTCGTACAATGTTAGACATATGTAATATTATGTGGTAATGGTCATTTTACATCCAAATGACAAATCGTTTCTGAATAATGCATTTGACATGTTTTTTTGATTAATTTCTACAGGCAACGGTGGGCCGCTACACTAACCGTAGCGGTTAGTGTAGCGTAACGCAGCGGAATTCCCATTAGCGTTGAGCGTAGCGTAGCGGAATTCCGCCACGACACAGCTAACGCTAAGCGTGTGGGCCACAAAAAAGGGCCCACTACGCTGTGCTGCAGCTGTTTTTAGCGGTTTTTAGCCGCTTTTTCCGCACAAGCGCTGTAGCGCAGCGTAGCGTAGCAAAAATGGGCTACAAAAGTGCTAACACTACCAAATTTTGGCGCAAAAAAAGCGCTGGTACGCTACGCTTTTTGGGCCAACACCAAAATACTCCGTCAAAACACCAAAATACGACGTGTCCTTAGAAGGCCTAATTTTTTCAAAATTTTAAATTATTCCCATAATAAGTGAGCTTACCCCATTTCTTGCATAATTTGTATTGTATATTTATTTGTATGCAAATTGAGTATAACCATCAATTTTGAAACCTCTCAGAATGTAGGAAATAACTTTATAATTTCTAAAAATAATAGGGGGTATTAAATATAGACAATCCACCATTAGAAACCTTTCACTTTTCCCAGAATTCCTTATTGGCATCAATGGGCCCCAAAAGGGGTTACAGAATAACTAGCATGTTTAATAAGGGTAATTTTTTTTTCAAACCAGTCAATTGTATAATGGTGGATTCGTTTATATTTGATACCTCTTCATGCACATCAAGCCTGTAAAAATTAATTAAAAAACATGTCAAGTGCAATATTCAGAACAAATGCAATATTCAGGTAAAATGCAATATTCAGGAAGGAAGGATTTTTAATTTTTGTGAAATATGAATATTAACATAATTTTATGTCATAAAGTGTAGGAATAAATAATCCAATCTCAAGGAATTATGAAAATTAGGCTCTGATATATTAAGTGAAAAAATATTACCAATTGCATTATTCAAAGAAATTTGTTGAATTTCTTGGAAATTGGTTTTGACCATAAAATTTTACACACTTGAAAGGGTAGCAAAGCAATTTAAAGCTTTGGAAAAACATTAAAAATGAGGCGTAAAAAATCAATACAAAAAAAAGTTTGCAAACGCGGGATCCATGTGTGCTGTGCACCGCCAATACCACATCTAAACACCAAAGGACCTCTTTTTTTGGTTTTGCTGTTGAAATAATGTGTCTAATTGCAATATTCAAGAAATACCATAAGTTCTATGCGAAATGGTCATTACTCTGAGATTCTAAACTAAGTGCAGGAAACACATCATAAAAATCATAAAAATTAAGCTGCAAAAATTATTTCAACATACTGTTTTCAATAGCAGAATCAGCATGTCCAGTGGGCATCAAAACAGTGTATGACCTTATTTGATGTTTTTTTTTCTTCTGTTGGATTTGATTTGATTTTTATTTGTTATTTTTGTTATTTTGGTTTATTTGTTTTGAGAGGAATTATCAAATTATTACCATTTTTCTGCTTTTAAATGACAACCACATTTCTACTTTTAAAGCTAATCTGCCAAAGCCTGCTGATTTTAATTTATGAGGTGTATCTTAAAAATCCCCAGAAGAAGTCTTTTTTCATTCTCTATATGTATTTTTGGAAATGAGATTGTATTCAATTCAATTTATACTCTTTTATTTAATTACTTCAAGATCCACTTCAGAGAAACAAACTTGACCTCTGGCTTCATTATATTTGAAAATAACATATAGAATCATCAGTTTGTATCATTGTTTAGGTATTGAATCTCCTCCTCATCTAGCATCCCCTCTTCCAAATATTCTTCTGGGTTTTCTAAATCCGTAACAACTGATGAACCCATGACAAGTTTTTCCCACCAATTACTACATCTCTCAATAACCCTATCCCATTCATTTTTTAGTTGGTCATCATTGTGCCCATCTATGGTGAGATATTTGGCACTCCAGTCAAGGATAATTGTACAGTTGGAGGCCCAATTCATCCAAATCCGGCAGTGATTTTTGGCAATTTTTCTGTACAAAGACTCCAGAACCAATGGTGAGAATTTATGTCTTGCACATAAAGCTGAGAATACTTCCAGCCTGTCATTCTCCCCATCCACAGTTGTTGATTCATCTGGCATCATGAACCCAAAGCATATGTCAGAACCACAAAAACAACACCAGGCAAGGCTAGGCCATTATTTTTCAACAAAAAAAAGGAATCTTGCCTGATTGAAAATATTTGTCAACTCTTTCTAACAATTGGGATTTGGATACTCCCCACTTGATTGCCTGACGGGCCTCCCGGGCTATCCGGCGAAGCTCTTCCTGGGAGTGGCTGAATAAGAGGTATGCTTCGATTCCTTCCTGAATACTTGTATTAACTGCCCAAGGTTCCTCAGGATGAGTGAAAGATCCCATATTCCAGAATGCATCTTCTGGTTGCATTTGCCTGATAGTCTCCAAATCTGGGGTGTCAAGCAAGTGTGGCGGTGAGAATCGGGTGTTATATTCGTGAGCCTTATTGTTGTATGAAAGCCATTTTCTCTTCAGTAGTTTGTTTTTGGTATTCATCAGCTTCCTGAACCGCGCTTGTAATCAAGTACCTGTGGCATATTAACCAGATAGTGGAGATGTGGTGTATTTGAGATTGGTACTCAATAAATATGATAATCTAAATTCAGATAGCCCTGACCTGATCCAGGTTGATCCCATTTCTTCTGTGTCTCAGAGACACCAACTTTGGCTTCATAAAGCTTGGCTTTACTGATCTTCAACTTGATCAACAATTTGGTTTCTTCATCTGAAATACAATTTATTTGGTAACTTGATCAACATTTTTCTTTCTCCATCTGAAAACCAAACTGTTTTGAGCATATTAAGTAATACCAGTGGTTCCTAAGTACTCACCTGAGGCCCCTGGTAGGTTTCGAAAGGCTTCAGAACCAAGGTCCTGGACAACTTTATCAATCTCTTATTCCAGTAATACTAGTGTATTTGGTAGCTGTGCAATCTGATTCCTCTCGGCTTGGGTACGATTCCTCCGCCTCCTTTGTAGTGAAGCCATTTGTTCACTATATGATAGACATCAGTAAATGATTTAGTTCTACTGATTTATGGTTAATTTAGCCTTACTGTGCCTCCCTCAGTTGGTCTTCCAACTCAACCAATTCTTCCACCTGTGCTTTCAAATTCCTCTCCGTCTCAGTTTCCATCACAGATAGCTGACATTCCCTCTGTCTCAGCCATTGTTGCTGCAGATATTGAATTGAGTGTCCGTGCTGATTGGTGATTTGGTCAAGTTTCTCCTTGGAGGATTTCATAACGTTTTCAATGCTTTTCCCTCTCTCTAACAACAACTTCACTGGAGTATCACATGGTATTAGTAACTTGAAGCACTCTCATTCTGACATGATTTGATCGGACATACATGCATTAATCTTGCCTATTGTGTTGTGATGAGAAGACCTAAGATCCAAAGCAGCCAGGCGGTGATTTTTGGTTGAGTATTGGAGTTGACTGATCAAAGGCGACAAGTAAGCCCAAATCCACTATAATCCTTCCCCATCAGAAAATCCCCATCCTTGGTTGAGTAGGGGGTTGTATTGAAGCTGGCAAGACCATTCATGGACATAAGAATGAAACACACTGGTTCCAAACATCAGCTGATTGGCACTCCTTTCTACTGAAAATTGATTTCGCTTCATAATGCCTTTTTCAATGTGGCACCCAATATCGTATAGGAAACCAATCCTCTTGGTTTCATTTCCATCAACATTGGTCTTGGATAAGATGTGTTTGATCATGGTCATGGGGTAGTACGCCCTAAGTTTATTTGTATGATGTGTCAGTTTGCATTTCTTATGGTAGATGAAGGATTTGGAAACTCACTTTTCTCCACTCTGTACAATGTTCATCATCCTTAATAATTGATCATGTCGGCACGCCATTCCGAATATCCCCGTATCATCGCAAGCAGCCCATGTGCTTGCAGCTCTAACATCATTTGCAGCTGTGTGCTGCTCAGAACAAGGGTCCTATCAAGGAATGGAGACATTAGTCATCATGTGTGATCTCACCATAGGTACACAAGAAACATGCGACATTGCTGCTAGCTTCATTGCTATTTAGTTGATTCTGCATCATTGTTTGCATATGTTTGACCTCGTCTGGTTCGATAAACAGGTGTGGTGTCTTAATGTTGGAGGGTTCAATACTTGCTGCAAGGTGCCGTCGGTGCTGGAAGTTTCCGTCCGTGCATACAATGTAATCCGGTTCTTCTGGTTCTTTTCCTGGAAAAGAAGGACCAAAGCATTTCAGACAAGTCTCCGCAAGTTGATCCATTGGCCCCATTGACAGCATCTCCTCGGATACCAATGCCTCTCGTCTAAGCATCTCGCGATAGGCATCTATAGCTGATGTCATTGTTCTTCTCCATTTACGAGTCTGGTATTATCACAGATCCAACTTTAATATTTACAATTCATATATACACTTATATATATCATGACATACACTATGGGAATTTTCATTGTTGGAATCTTTTTGGTTCACAAGAATGAGAGGGCTGCTTGTATCCAAGAACTCGTCAATTGCTTTGGAAAAAGGAGTGATAGCGACCGCACTATACTTCCAAAGTATATGGTGGAACTGTAGGAGACGAATTGAGAAAGCAGTCTTAGGAAACTTGGGGGAACCTCCGATGTATCCCATTTGGATAAGTCGGGTCTGGTCGGGCTGGTATTCACAGAATACAACCTCTTCCTGCTTTCGACCTAGTGAAAAAATTAGCATACTGTTGGAACTCCTGTGTACAGATTTGATATTATCCCCGGAATAACTCACTGAGTAGATCAACTAGCACAACAAGGCGGCATCGAGTTTTATCACACAAGCATTGTTCTTTCCAGTCGTGATTCCACAGGTTGGTGTTTCCCCAATCGGACGTCTTAGTTGCACATTTGTTGAACCAAGAGAACATATCTCCATAGACTTCCTCCCAGTGTTGATCCTCAATTGCTCTTTTGTTTTTGTAACCTTCACTTCGGAAATATTTAATGAGACTGGTTACTTGGGGATCGGTTGAAGAATTTCCGTCAGGACTTTGCGGTGCTTGATTTTCGTCCATATCCATTTGGTCCAGTTGTTGCAGTTGGAAAGGAGTTGAATTTCGGTCTTGTGTTGTCAAATGACTTCCGGAAAGTTCTTGAGGTTGTTGTGAGAGAAGTGTGTGCTGCCTTTCAAGTTGGAAAGAGTTGCTCAAGGTGATACCGGCCGGTGTTGAAGGTTTTCTAATCCGTTTGCGCTTTTTTCCACCGTCACCTTCAAAAGGAGGCATGCTGTTTGGTTGAAGAGGTATTGTTGTGGAAGGTTTGTTTTTCCCAATTGGGAAAGTGAATACAAGGTCGGTGGGGTGCCTATCAAGCTAAATGCATGTACTGGGCTCAGCATTCAAAGTCGGATGCCTGTCATTTCTATGAATGGTTGGTGGGTTTATGATTCCATTCTGACATGTAGTATGGTTTTGATTACTTAAAAGTTCAACAGCCCGGCCAAAACTTCTTCAATCCAACAGTTAAAAATTTACTTATCACAGCCAACATATTTATATTTTCCCTAGTGTGGCTACTGCTCATATCTTGAAAAAGGTATTTTTCTTATCAGCAACATTGTTTTCTCCCTATATATATCAAGGCTATAACAAAGTTGAGCTGACACTTACCACAGCTGGTGCTGTGTCCCACGTCAAAAAATTACTTGGAATCCAATCAAAATCATTCCTAATGGGATCACAAATACCTCAACTAAGATCAAATAAAACCTCACTATCACCCTTGAAATTTGATAACTGCTTCTTTCAATAAAGGAATTGCACAACTATGGATTCTTCATACTAAATCAAAACCATAACTTTACTTGAATCAAAATAATTCCTAGCAGGAAATTTTCATCAAATTGTGGCTGTGGCTGACTAACCATTTTCCAGCATGGCAGCACTAATCTCTCTGTAAACATCAAACAAAACCTCATCATAACCCTTGTACTGTGATGACTGCTTATATTGGAAAAATTCAAGTTGGAGCAAAGTTGAAATGCTGATGTGAAAAACCTTGGAATTCCCCATGAGGCCTTTAACATGAATTGAATCAAAATGATTGTGTTTTCAAATTTCATCCATGTTGAGACCATCACTTCATTTTGAAGATGCTCAACCAAACCACACGTGCAACTGAGTGAGCTTTGTGGATCATGATTTTGAGGATTTGTATATGATTTTTCAGAACCTGGGCGTATCTTACAGTTTGCAAAACCATGAGGGATCAAAAAATTCAACAGTTGATTGGAGCAGTTATAGAAGTGATCAAGTGTATGAATTTGTTCCTCAAAAGTGGTCTGCAGTATGTAACTTCATTCAAGGGGGTGATTACCATGTTGAAATTGAACAGCAATGTTGTCCCATTTGAAATTCATCAGGAACATGGATGAACAATCATACATACACCTGAACCAGGGTTGTAACTTGCATCCTCCAGGGATAGATTAATTAACATTTCATCATTGGCCTTGGAAGGCATGGAAAGTGCATGATCCATACAACAACTTGGCTACATGAGGTTGTTTTGATAAATAATAAAAATAGTTGTAAATTAGTCTACTCAAGTGGTTCTAGAAGGCCCCGCCCCACCCTTTACTCTAATCCTCCTGAGCCCTCCCTATTAGCTACAAAACCCCCTATTCTAACTCCCCCCCCCCCATCTCATTTGTAGTTCTACATATCTACTGGCTATGTTATAAGCATTAGAATCCTTCTTATAGCTATGATTAGAGTACTCCTATACAGGTATATAAACATGTTGTTACATGGATGAAGGCTGTATCCTATCCCTTGTATTTTAAAGATTATAGTATCCAATGCTTTTCAGAAAAATCATTATTGAGATTCCCCATGGTTGTATCTTATATTGATCAATTAACCAGGGTTGTAACTAAAATATTCCAGTGGGACTTGCAGAAATCATATTCTTGCAATTCAACAAATTTAATGCATAAATACACACATTTAATATAAATTCTTGACTGCACATGTTCATCTTTATTACACCCAAACATTCAATTTGGGATGTTGGAGTTGGAGGTTTATTATCTATGTCTTCATGATGGATTATCAAATGCTTTTTTGAATAGTGGAAGAAAGAATAGGAACCTGTGGCCTGTATATGGGCCAGAGGCAAAATGATTACTCAAGCCTAAATTTCAGATTATATGGACATAAAATTGTAACTTAGCCAAAGTGGATAGTGAGAAATAAATCAATTATTTGGGATTGATTTATTTCACTGAACACACAAGTGGAACTGGAACTGGTTCAAAGTTCATGAGATCCCCATATGGATATTTTATCTGTACATTTAACATTACTGCCATATTTAATGACTGGGTAGCACTAGCAGCACCTGCCCTGAGGTGAAAAGCAGGCCTGTATACAGGCCTCAGACAACAGCATTACTCAATTCAAGCCTATACTGATCATATGCACATAACATTGTGACAAAGAGGATTTGGAAAAGATGGGTCTTGAGCTCAGGAAAACAAAAATGAGCAAGTGTATTTATAGTGTGCCTGATGATCATGACAATGATTGGCTTGGGTACCCCACCAGTCTCACGTCCTTATATAGCTCCAATATACATATTAAGTTATTTTTGTGCAGACTAGCAAGATCGATATTGCATAAAGCCAAGAGGCATGGCTCTGATAAACGCAATTACAGCAGAGAAAAAGTTGGTTATGTAGTTGCTGATAATCGATTCAAATAATATGACAAGTTATTGATTGGCACAGAAAGGTGTGAGCTAATTGAAGGTATCAAATCTTAACAAAAGTCTCTGATGAGTTAGTGGATTGCGATAAAAGCATTACAAGGCGGTAATATGATTTCAAGGTGCGATGGCTGATGTCAGCCACAGAGTACATGTCACAGTACCTTTCATGTACCAAGTAACTGCAACACCTGTACTTATGGACATAAGTACTTATCCATAATGTTGATTACCTTTACCTCTTGTTATCTTATCATTATTATTAACTTATCTTATTTATCTTACAGTTATCTTATCTGTTAATTACTTATCTATTAAATACATACCTGTGTTCTACATAAGTAATTATCACTTACCTTTCACTCCCTTGTCCGTGAAATACCTGTACCACAAGTTATCCCTCTACTACAGTATTTTCACGGTCAAATATTATTACAAATAAATATGTACATGTACTAAATAGTAAGTATTAAGTGTCAATAGAATTAATACATTCAATACATGCACTGATCACAATTATGACTACATTATTAGAGGATCTGTTAATTACACGCATCAAGAGCAACTAGTACACAATTATGATGTCACTTACAGATCATGACAAATAATGATCAGTCACTCAATTGATGTGCTCATTCTCCTGGCCAAAGCTCCCTTGATTCTGAGCGCTCATTCTTTCCCTCCTTCAATATTCTGGAACTTATAATCCGTGCCTCTTTCACTGATTAATCCCCAGAATATTCAGACACCAGTTAAACCAGTTAACATTTATATTGATACAGCACACGTAACCAACATAAATCTTGTCTACCTTTATTGTTTTTAAGCTTCAGTACTCTTACTCAACTTATCCACAGTATTCATAGCCTTGCTGAATATTCCCATCAACAATACCTGTTAATCTTCAACTAATTTTGTTAAAGCTTAATAAGTATTGTTAGCCCATTCCCTTTTGGGAATAACCAAATCAATCCCAGGTGAGTCTTAGTACCCTGGATGCCTATTAATACCTTGTATTGATCCGGATGCGCTGTTGATAGCAAGCCTCTCAGTAAAGACCATACTGATAGAGTGAAACCTCCTCATTACAGGACTGGTATTAATCACCCACTACCTAACACTCACCACGCTCAAAAAACTTCAGTCAACTCATAGTAACAACCTTTTTACCATTAAATACTCAGGTTAGTTACCCAGAGGCTGACACTTAGCTAGCATATCTTTGTGGAGTAGGGAATCTTCAGACTGTAAAATTCTCAAGCGAGGGTTTATTTTGATTAAAGCGGCTGCCGGATCCTTGGTTTTGGGAAATTTACGACTTCCGGCTGGAACCCCGCGGGCGAGCGCTGGAAGGGGAAGAATATTAGAAATTTAGCTTAGCTAGCTCCATGAATGAAATGTAACAAGGAAAATCAATCGCACCAAGGGCCTTGTTGAGAGCAGCCCTGAGATCTATTTTAACCAAATCCGAATCTTTTTGCTTCTTTACGATCTCAACCCCAAGAGCTTCTTCTACTTCTTCTTGTATGGCACATCCATGGCTATAAGCCTCGAAACTCTCCTTCGCCTTCCATTTGTCCTTTGCAAGGGTTAGCCAAGCAACATCGTTAGACCACTCCCTACAAAAGCTATTTTCTCCAGGTGATCGGGTTGCAGCCAACAAGTAGTAGGTGGTGTTGTAGAGGGTTGAGGAAGTATAAAGCTTTTCAGGATGGAGTCAATATTTTAGTTTTGAAAACGGTCTTTGATACATATTTGACAGAAAACTTACTTCACGGTTGAGTTTTTGAAAAGACTTGTATGCTTGCTTAGATACCTCGCCACTTTTGTTGGAAGAATCCGGTCCTTTGGTGTTAATAAGCCTGACTTTCTGGTGGTTGACTAACTTTTCGTAAAGGGGTCAATACAAATCCTTTTCCTCCGGAGTGAGCTCGACTGGGTCCTCTTCATCTTCTTCCAAGTCGTGATGGCAGGGAATCTTGGAGAAGAATTGAAAAATTGGGGGGCTAAAAACTGCCTTTTCCTCTGCAGAAAGGGAGGACCACGCTTCACCAAGGTGAATGTTCCTTTCTTCCCATCCCGCAGAGCATCCTTTTGGAGGGACTTGAGTTTAAATATATATCAGTGTTGGCCAATACGGAATTGACATTGTAGATAGTATAAAACAATTCACCTGGGGTGTTGGCACTCTCAAGGCTGAAGGCAAAATACCTATTCCAGTCACTCTTTTGTCGGAATGGTTTATCCTCGCCACTGCGGAAAAAATCAGTACTTTTATTCAATTAGTAACATAAAACAAAAAGGCTCACAGAAATTTATTAACCGTGGCTTCGCTGACATTGCCAATCAGAGCCAACATCAGTTTGCTTTTGATGTAATTCTGTTGGAGCAAAGAGATGGTGTCTTGAATGTTTGGAGGAAGACGATTTGAATTGCTTTCCTTCTTTTTTTGAAGGGTTTGTCGAAGTTGGTATATGGACCAGTTTTGGAGTTGGCTGTGAAAGTTTTCCAGAGTAATCTCCACCTGTGTGTTTGGAGGAGAAGAGTGTTCCTGTTCATCTTCTTCGTTATCGCTCTCTTCCACACGGTGGCGGTTTGACCTCTTCTTGGGAGCTCGGGGATTTACAGCTTGTCGGTCTTTTGTATTTTGGGTGATGTTCCGGGTGGATCGAGTATTTCTAGATCTAAGGTTGGAAGGTTGAGATTTGGAAGAACGTGTTGGAGCCATTTGAGCGGTATTCAGAGGTGATTTGGTGTTGAGCTAGAAGCTAGTTATTTTTGAGCCAGGTGAGTTGGTGTTGTGTTGAGCTGGGTGGGTTGGTGATTTGTTTTTGAGCTGGGGGAGTTGGTGATTTGTTTTTGAGCTGGGGGAGTCGGTGATTTGTTTTTGAGCTGGGTGAGTTGGTTATGTGTGTTAGGGTAAAATGGCAGGGATTGTTGCTTTGGACCATGTGGGTTAGGTTTTTGGGTTCAATTGCCCTCTGAGGGATACACAGGTATAAAATTGATACACAGGTATAAAATTAGGCCCAGCTCAAACTGGATTTGAGTTGGTTAACTGGACTGGGGCTTCTTCAAGCCCTGGTGAGCAGCTAGATTCAACCCCCACATGAGCTGGTGGAGCTGGTTACAGTCTTCCATGTCAGAACTTGCTTGTGTCCTTCCTCCACATCAGCTGAGTGAGCTGATACAAGTATATATATTTGGTATTTCAACCAGCCATTTGAGCTGGATGGGCTGGGCTTTGACTTATTACATGAGCTGGGTGCACTCTAACATGGTCAGCTGTGTGATGGTCCTTTCAACTTCCAGTTTGGCTTAGTTTGGAACTTATTCACATGAGCCAGATGGGCTGGCTTTCAGCCTGCCATGCCATATGAGCTGGATGAGCTGAATATAAAGCTGCCACATGGGCTAGATGAGCTGGTTTAACTTTCAAGTTTCTGTATGAGCTGGGTGAGCTGGTATTGTTAAGCTGCAAGTTCTAACTTGCCATGTGAGTTGGATGAGCTGTCTTTCAACCTTTGTGGTGAGATGGATGAGCTGGCTGCCAACCTGCTACATGAGCTGGATGAGCTGGTTTTCAACCTTCTGCATGGGCTGGATGAGCTGGTTTTTAACCTCCTGCGTGAGCTGGGTGAGCTGGTACATGTACCCTCCACGTGAGCTGGATGAGCTGTCTTGTACATGTACCCTCCACATGAGCTGGATGAGCTGGCTGCCAACCTGCTACATGAGCTGGATGAGCTGGGTTTGAGCAGTCTGGGTGAGCTGTGTGAGCTGGTTTTTAACCTCCTGCGTGAGCTGGGTGAGCTGGTACATTTACCTTCCACATGAGCTGGATGAGCTGGCTGCAAACCTGCTACATGAGCTGGATGAGCTGGGTTTAAAATTCTGGGTGAGCTGTGTGAGCTGGTTTTTAACCTCCTGCGTGAGCTGGGTGAGCTGGTACATGTACCCTCCACGTGAGCTGGATGAGCTGGAATATTTACGGTGGGCTGGATGAGCTGGGCTTTTACCATCTGCGTGAGCTGGATGAGCTGGTATATGTGCCTGCCATGTGAGCTGGATGAGCTGGGTTCCACCCTTCCACATGAGCTGTGTGAGCTGGTACACTCACCTGCCAAGTGAGCTGTGTGAGCTGCATATAGCCTGTATTTTTTGTGGTTATACTGAGCTGGTTGAGCTGGATTTGAGATGGGCTCATCCAGCTCCGCAGTGCCTTCGGTCCCAAACCAAAGATTTGGCCTTATTTATCTTCGGTTTGGAACCAAAGAATCTAGTTGACAAAACTCGGTTCAGAATATGTGGCCTAAACTGGTTACTTGGTTATAGTTGCTGAACTACAAGGTTGTACATGTTGCACAAGCCTTGGAACCTTGTTTATCTTGAGTTCACATCCAATGAACTTTGTTTATGTCATCATCTGATTTTGTTCTGTAACTTTAAATGTCTGTAACTATTTAGTTATTGATTATTTTACAGAATTCTTTGTTTTTTGAGTATGTAGTTACACAGTGGTATGTAACTACATGAATTTTGTTTTTATTTTCAAAGTAAAGTAAAAAAAGTTAATTTTTATTTTTAAAGGCCTTTGTGGTCATTTGCAGGCTTTTGACCATGTACACTTTTATATGTAGATTTTTATGCTTAATATTAATTTACTATTTATAATATTTTTTCATGGGCTAGTCTTGAGACTTGACTATGGGTTGTAATTGTTATTTTTATTATTTTATATTTTGAGGCCTATGGGTATGTATATACCTCAAGGCTGACATCTTCTTTGAGGGATTTTTTCTGCTTTGGAACTTCTATTGAGCCATTTTTGCTGGTGTGTCTTGTAATCTGCACTCAACGGTGGGAAGTTACTTATGTTATAATATCTGGGACAATTTTTGTAATTTAACTTCCCAGATATTTTTTTTGGCACACTATCGTTACTGATAACAATACAAGATCCTGGGCTCAGGAAACGTAAACTTTTGGTTTAGAATTTCTCCAAGCCCGGGGAAAACGTAGCTTTTCCCCATTGAAAAAACCAAAAAAAAACGCCGCTAACGGCAAAAAAAAAGAATTTCCTTCCAGTCGGCAAGGTACATGTACCTTGCCAGCTGGAAGGGCTTCCTTTCAGTTGGCGAGGTACATGTACCTCGCCAACTGGAAGAACCTTGCCGGCTGGAAGTAAACCCTTCCAGCCGGTGTAAGACTCAAAAGTGGTTGTGAAACCCTTTTGCTGAATTGAGAAGGGGATGATGGAGGTTCAAACTCTGCCCTTCTATACTATCAGAAACAAGACCCCCAAGCTTAGCTTGGAAAGTTTTAATAACGTGATAGGATTGGTTGGTTCCGGTAAAAACTTTGTTTGTATGAAAAGTAAAGGTTGAATATATAATTGCTGATAAAATAAGACTGTTATTTTATGTAACAGGTGAAAGGCTTATATAAGGTTGTGTAATAATTTGTGCTGTAACTTGCTGAGTTATTGAGTGACTAATGAGTAGATGAGTGAATGAGTAGTGAACTGAGTGAGGAGACAACAAATGGGGGGGAAGAGAGCCTCCTTTTATAGACAAATGTGAGGGAATTTAGCTCCAGGGCAGACAAGAAAGACTTATTTTTAGCTGGCCTGTAGGTACAAATGAGTGAATTTAGCTAGTCTGATCATGCAAGTGAGGGAAATTAACCAGTGAGGCTGTGTACAATTAATTTCAAAGGCTGTGCTGTAGTGCGTAAATAATGTGAGAAAGTGTCAAATGAGGCAATAAATTGTGGGAAAAATCCAAATGTTATCATAAGTGAGGTGAGAAAATTAATAAACTGTGGGAAAATAATTCAATCAAGACTGCACAGCCTGCAAAGGCAGTGGATGAGGTGAAAAATAAATCCAAACTAATTTATGCGGTGGAGATAAAGAGGTGTGGGAAATTATGTTTATACTGTGAGCTGTGTATAAGCATAACTGAGAGTTGAGTTGAGGGTTGTGACATGTGCTTGATTGGATGTTGGCCTTGTGATATGTGTCTGTAGAGGTGTAACTTCCAATCCGTGAGGGTTCCAATGTTGCGTCCAGTGGTGACCTAAGCTGAAATTGTCCGTAAAATCCATTTCTGAAGTTGTATTGGTCGATTTCCGGCTGGATATATGAGAAAAAATGTATATAAAGAAAAAATTTGGAATATTTACATATTTAACTACCACACCGGCCATTGGCCTTGGGTATCCCTGGGGATAGGGGGTTGATAAGCGCAAGCCAACCCCCCTTGTGCACGCCAGCTGCAGATTGGTGTCAGCCACAGAGCACATTTCACAGTACGTGAAATGTACCTAGTAACTGCAATAATAATAATTAATTGAATACTGGAAAATAGTATACATTGTTGTTAGAATAATAAATAAATAAATATGTATTTACATTTAATCTTAATTCATAATTTATATTTAATAATTCTATAATTAACTGTGAAATCCCCTTGAGTATTGTACATATAATATCACTAGGATTTCACAGAAATATCATTAGAATAAAGTATTAAAACAATGTTTATTCTTATACATTATGTACATATTTTATAAGCCATAAATAATTACATATGTATAAAGAATCAGCTAGTAGAAGCGTGAAATGGATGAGGAATAAGCTATATACATTTATCTGAAGCTTACCCATCCTTGATCACATCATCAGGGCATCAGATTGCATCATAACCCTCTTGGATGGCGTCATCAGGACCCTTTTGTGCTCTAATTCAAAGCTTGCATAATTCAAAGCAGCCTACACGGGAAAGGAGCCCAAATTCTACATGCAAGACTGAATTATGCATGAAGGACATGCATTTCTCATGATCACAAGCTAGCATAAGCAGAGTTACACGTATGCAAACAACTCTACAATTGCACAGCCCCTGCACAGTAAATGTAGCCCTTTAAATTACGTGAGAAATAGGCCACAAAACTCAATTATGCATGTATGATCTCATGTCCTAGGACCTTCCACCCCATGCATAGCACTGCACAGCTACAGCTCCCATCCTTACACGAAACTGTAGAGCTGCTAAGAAGCTCCCCAGTGCCCTGAGGGCCTCTCCTCTTCCCCTGAGCCCCCTGTAGAATATTTAAGGAGCTCAGATTCCTACCTTTTCCCCCCAGGAAATTCTAGTAGCATCAAACCAACACTTGTACCGTGTTTATTAGTGATTCAAACCACCAATAACCTTACAAACCAGCTACCTTAGACCTAAATAGATTTACTTTGCTCAGATTCAAGGCATATCTACTTATCTCTATTGCATAAAGAATTATCCCCCAGGTTAAACAATTCTGGTCCTTAAGTGTTGATACACTTATTAATCTAGATTGTTGTTAAAAGACTAATCCCAAGTGAGTTGAAGAAGTCCTCATCTTGGAAGCCTATTAATCCATACAAGAGGATTGATCTGGATGCCCAATTAAATAATTGGATGAGTCAGCAGTAGAAGTACCATTCCTCACTGACTCCTCCCTGTTTCTTTTACAGGTTGAGGGATTTAACCACGAATAAACCTTCCCACTTACCATACTTGTTAACACTCAGAGCACAACCCTTACAGGTTAGTAGCATAGAGGCTGACAATTGGGGGTCTGGCCTCATTTTACTCGTGATTTTTTCACCCATTACCATTAAAAAATCATACTTACTAACACCATTCTATTTTATTTTATTCATCATGGCCTGCTAAAAGGTAAATGCAGGATATCAATATTTATTTCAAACATATAGATCCTTCCCTCCTGGCTGAAACCAGAAGATATTACACGGACCATCCTGAAAATATTACAGTAGAGCAAGAACTTAGAAAAGTAGTTAAAAGAGTTTATAGAGATACTTACTGGATTTGTACCACTACTACTACTAGTGCAGTTCTATCCAGTGCTATTTACGCGCCAGACAACACTGTTATCTCTTACACAGACTATTTAGAAGAAGTAAAATCTGTCATTTCTGAATACTACAGAAACCCTTCCTCTTTTAATCTCCCTCCTGACGTACCCCCTTTTAATTTCCTCGAGTCTGAATTGATAGAAGACACTACTACATACACTACTATTCCTGATTTTGGCTTTGGCAACCCGCACTACGCTTTAGACTTATCAGACTGAAATTTTTTTACTTCTTTACATATCTCTTATTACTTCTCACCTCAATAGCGTAAAAAATCTCTAAAAAACACCAAAAATACCTGTTTTTCAACGCTACACAATTGTTTCACTCTATTTTTTCGAAATTTTTTCTGACCAAAAAATCTTATTTGTCTTACAAAACAATATTCTGAATTAAAATCTGAAACTTTTCCCCTTCTTCTTACCTTTTTTGTGGATTCAGGACGCTTTTCGCCAGCGATCTCCCTGAAGGAGAGGACTTACGAAAATTCTGAGTAGACCATTCGACGCGCAAGCATCGATTTACTGTACTAGGTTTTTTTCCCAAGACTCGAAACCTTACGGTTCATTCAGCGTCTGTGCGCAAGACCTTGAAAAAGGACAGCCTGACAGTTTTTGTACGGCAGGTGTGTGGTAACACCGATTACAGTTTGTATACGCATACATACATAAATAAAGTTGTATTACCACTCATACATAGTTTAAATCCTATTCCCCGGATTTTCACAGCCCTGTCGATCGTATTACCACCGCGCGAGCTTGTTTGAGTGTATACCGCAGCCGCACTGCACCTCGGATCTGTTTTTCGACCATCGACCTTCCAGAAACTTCAAGAGAGTGTAGCTCACTCAATTTTTGAGCTATCAACAAAGTTAGACCACCGTTTTAATCGCCTGAACCTAGCGAATCCAGCGCACACACTCACATCACGCGATTCTCAACCCTTCACAGTCTTATACTGTACTTTGTTTTTTTTACTCTATCTACATATTTGAAAAAGTTCTAAAAACATATAAAAATTATAAAAAACATATAAAACACATAAAAAGTAAGAAAAACATTAAATCAAAGAAAACAAATAGTAAT